ATAAACGTGGAATGTAAGAGTTTCCACGAAAACACATCTGATTTGATTCATTATTTTCCAATAAATTCAACAGAACAGATAAACACTCTGTGATAATAACATCTATTTTTAATAGATTTAGAAAGCTTAATTTAATTTAAAAAATATTTTTTTTAGTTTACCTTCATTCCTACTACATTTACGAATAATAATTTGAAGTAAACGTTCAAAACCATTTTCAAATGCAACTACTCCTTGTATATACGCATTAGAACGAGTTAAGATTTTAAAAAGTGAAAGTGCCTAATAAATTTATCAAATAAATCTTTTCTTTTTTTTTTCAATAAAACAATTACATCATTGAGAATAACATCATTTTTATCTTCTAAAAGAACTAATAATTTTGAAAAACCTACTGGTCCACTTTCGTAAATGATATCTTGTAATTTTGGAGTATAATTTGTAAGAAGTGCAGTGAGAAATCGAATAGCTGAACATCGAACATTAAAATTAGTTTTCTAAAATTGTCTCTTCAATGATGGAAAAACTCTGAACTACATAAAAAACCTCTTACTGCAATAAGTTCAAGAACTGTATGAACATGTTCTTTATTCTTAATATATAATTCTAGAAAATAGTAAAATTTTTCATTTATTCTTTTTATCTAACCAATAAAACTTATACTTGTAAATTGAACACTAATATCTTGTGATAAACTCAATTGTTCTAGAGAACAAACAAATGTATTGAAAACAAAACAATAGACCATAATTAATAACACACCTTTATCACTATCAGCATCGTATGTAATTATATTGAGTAATGTTTCAAGTATCAATTGACTAAGCTGCAAGTCAATTTGATCATCTTGTAAAATATTTGCTAATAAAGTCATACTTTGAGTACCAACTTCATGTTTATATTTCTATTAGTTTTTTAAATATATAAATATATATTGGAAAATTAGAAATTTTGTTTTTTTCTTACTTTAGAGAGCGTTTTGAGAGCAAGTATAGCATTTTGTCGATCTTTCATATGTGTAGCCGATTTTAGATCATCACAAAGACATTTTACCTGTCAATAGCGGATGTGACAAAATTTTTGCGACCTTTTTTGTTTTCAATATATCTCCGTTCAGGAACATGATAGAAGGCTGATTTTTTTGTTCAAAATATAGGTCATTTAATACTCTATCAGAATTGCAAAATCAGGTGTTTATAGCTCTTTTTGAAATTTTAATAGATTAATAAAGGTGAACATGTTTATTGTTGCACTACTTCCAATTATAAGAACTCGGAAAAATCCAGAAATTACGAGTTTGAAGTGTTGACAACGAAGGTTATCGCCCTCGATGACATACTTACTAGATGAGAATAGTGAATTTGCCAATGCAAAAAAAGCAAAAAGTTTATCAAGTTGTTGATACTTGATCGGTAATCAATGATTATTTCTCTTTGACGTCTTTTCTCATTTTCAGTTCAACTCAATATTGCT